GACAGTTTAATTTGCAAATTGAAATCAAATAATAAACTTCCACTGACTGACAAAACAAAAAAGTTTTCTTACTGTTATTTGCATGTTTTCATTTTCTTAAACCCTTCCCCATCTTTCTCTTTTTTCCCCCTTTGTTTCAGGCCTTAGTCACAACAAATCAGAAAGACACATCAAAGAGACCAAATCTAATTGTAAGCAAATTGCTCCATGCACCCAATCCTCAAAATAAGGGAGCCTTGCTCTTTAAAAAACATCTCCAGAGGGTCAAGAAGTATACACTTGTGAGTTACAGGACCGGTGATAACAAGTTAGACAGTGAAGACCAAATAGAAGAGGAAACTGAATAAGTAAAATCAGCTGGTTATACCTTTGCAGAAACAAGTGATTCTGACTTGGAGGAGGAGTATTCTGTTTATCATCAGCAGCATCATTTGACACTGAACTGGGGACGTGCTTGAGAAATGGAGGCATTATCAGAGTCGAAAGGAAAAGGAGTTCTGATGTTTGCCCAGCGTCGCAAACGAATAGATGAAATTGCATCAGAGCACGAAGAACTGAGGAGTAAAGGATTACCTGTGGAGGAATTAACAGAAGCTGAATGTAGAGAAGCACACACTACTTATGATAAAGAAAAGTGTGTGTGTAATGAGGCCAGCTATGCAGCTGCAAGTCTCAAGCAACCTATAGAATATCAAAAAAATAAGATGAACCACCTATCCAATGTGCCAAGACCACTGGTGCCAAATAGAACTGCAAAGCCCTTCCTCAGATTTCAAAATGGCACAACTGCTCCTGTCACACCTAGTGCTGTTTCTCCGGTGACAAAGAAGAATGAGCCGAGATTCAAAGTACCTGCGCCTATTAACACTAGCCGTCAAGTTTGGTCCCCAACTGGAGACATCATAGCCTCAAGAGATGAGAGAATATGTGTGCCAGCGATCAAGGCTGGCATCCTACCAGAACCAAAACGGAAATTCATTAGTAAAAAGCAATCAATGCTGGTGCGAGAATCAGATCCACACCTTCAAAGCAAAGGGGAACAGAAGTCTTATATCGAGTCAGAGGAAGACTGTTTTAGTCTTGGGGCTGAAGCTAGTAACTTTATGCAACCCAGAACAATAAAACTCAAGAATCCCCCTCCAGTTCCCCCAAAACCTACCATCAACCCAAACTGCCCACCTTGGAGGAGTCTCTCTAGTGAGCCATATATTCCAGTGAGATCCCCAATATCACAACCTTCTTACAGTTCTGTGGGGCCTCATAGTCAGCATTACTTACAGAAGCAAGACAGGGCTCAGTCTCAACATATGCCCAGGTGCTCGGCATCAGATCAAACTCAGGCAAAATTTCAACCGCCTACAAATGCCTGGGCTCCAGTCAAATCCTCCTCTCGGCTTCATCTTCAGCCAGCCACAAACAGCTGGAGTCAGCAGCCATTACAATCCCCTGTGAGTATGCAGGCCCATAGTCTTACTTACAGCCCACATCACCAACCTTCACCATTAAGGAGTAAGTTAGGCAGTGCTCCAAACTCAGTTGCCTCTTGTCCGCCACAAGCAAGGAAGTCATACATTCTTACATCAAAAGTGTCACCTGCTCCTCCAAAGGGTCAAGTCTCAGGCAGAGGTATTAGTTGTACTGGTGATGGTCCCACTATGGCAGGAAAAGGTGCAGAGTTGTTTGCCAAAAGACAGTCCCGAATGGAGAAGTTTGTTGTTGATTCTGAAACTGTGCAAGCTAACAAAACAAGATCCCTATCCCCTACCACATCGCTGCCCAACTCCTGGAGGTGCTCTTCAAATGTTCATGCACCTCCTGTCTCATACAAACCCCTTCTTGCTCCATTCTCTTCTTCATCAGCAGCAAAGCAAGCCCCTTTGTCAAGCCCCAAAATCAAGCCTAAGACCAATCAGAAACCTACAGCAGCCCCAAAGCACCTCAGCACCTTAGAGGTAATGAAACACCAGCCGTATCAGTTGGAATCTTCATTGTTCAAGTATGATGCAGTCCCTGAGACCAAAAGTCCTAGCCCCAAACCAACTCCTGTATCAAAGGTTGAGACTCCGAAAAGCCTTAAACATAGATTAGCCTCTTCTCATTCTCCTTATAATACCTCTGAGCCCACTGTTCAAGGCAAGGCTGAAGCCCCTGCTAAGTCTCCTGGACTGGTAAGTTCCCAGAGTTCTTCCACCTGCCAAAGCATTACATCAGCTGAGCCTCTTGCAGCTGACAAGCACTTGGATGAAAAGCACGCTATCACACGTGGAACCTATCACAAAATCTACAAGCAAGCACCAAGCATCCGAGCTGCAAGCATGTCATCTGTTGGTGACAGCATAGCTTTAGCTTTTTCTCCTGCAGCTCTTATTGCTAGAGGCACACATCAACTGGCTCCTTGGCCAAAGTTTTCTGCTAAGAACCCAGTGGTGACAGTCCGACAGTGGAGGCCTGTTACTATGCGTCATTAGTTCCTAATGCAGTACTTGTATGGTCAAGCTTTAGTGTGCTCAGCACAAACAGAACACAGTTACACCTGCAGTTTCACAGCATGTAAAATATCACATTTAACAGGTGGAAATGCATAAACCTTTGCACTTTTTAATGTAGGCAACTTCTAAAATCATTTACAATATGCAGCTGTAAGAATTTATTTTGCTGGCAATGTACTGAAAACATGAAATGGCAGTGAATATACAGCAAAACTGGTTTATGATATGATAAAGGAACATGAGCTATAATAACTCAGTACATTACATCAGCTTCCTGGGAAGCCTGGGAAGGTGCATGTACATTTAAAAAAAGGAAATGTGAGACTAAATCATGTTGAGTGATTCTCAGGAAGTGCTATTACATGTGTAACAATGTATATAGCGAGTACTGTTCCAGTAAGGTTTCTAGTTTGAGTTGTTTGTTTTTCTTTTGTAAGAGATTGCATGCATTCTTGTGTAGTAGTCACCACTGACCCCCTGACCGCACACATTTATTTATTTCAAATTTAAACCCACTTTGTATGATTCTGTCATCTGAGATAACAGTAACTCATGTTTACATTTTGAGTCACACGCTGTGTTTGAGGAGAACCCGCCTATGCACTTATTTTGGATTTCTGTTTCCTTCAGTCTCATTCCGAACTCTGATGGTATTACAACAGCTAAAAATGTTAACAGCTGTGATTATTAACCCTGATAACGTTAAATGGTATGTAGATTCATTTCTATGTGGATTCATTTTCTGCATTTGTCAGTTATGGCCAGTTGTTTAACTACAGTGTGTAAAACAAAAGCAAAATATCACAGAGGTTTGACAGTTATATTTTGTTTCACATTATTAATAGCAACTCAAAATGAAAACAGGAAACAACTGTTTTGTTTGTCTCTAATCTTTTTGACACTGACATATCACTGTTTATTGCACTTCGTGAACTCAGCATAATCCTGCTATTAAATGTTTCTTTCCTCCTACTTGTCTACTTCCTGGGTCATGTCTCTTTTCCTGAATAGTTGCATCACTACTTTTTCTGAGCCACATCTTTCCTCCTTTGTCTTGCTCACTGCCTCACACGTTCACGCAGCGTTAGTTGCATCACTACTTTTTCTGAGCCACGCCTTTCCTCCTTCGTATTGCTCACTGCCTCACACGTTCATGCAGTATCTAATCATGCTCACAGCACCTTCAGCAATATTCACAGTCTAAGATCCACTGTAGTTTTGGTTATTTTCCTTAAATCACTGTTTAAACTAATATTTAGCACTGTCATTGACCTGTATGAATTTGTTTTTAATTGTACTAGATATGTGTATTAGTTTTACAATATTTCAGTCCCCGTAGCTCTGAATGTGAAAAGTCTGGAACTATGATCATGGCCCTCAAAAAGATTCTCTGCAAACTTAAATAGAATGTTGCCAGTTCTATTGAAGAGAAATCCACCCTAAAGTAAGAGATATATTTGTTATCACAGTGATTTGTTGACAACAGGTCACTATCTACTGTCACAGCAAACAGTATGTTGTCTATATATTTTTTTTATTACACATAAAGATAGGCTGGATTCAGCTTAAGTTTACAGCATATTCAGCTCCTAACACTGACACACTGTGAACACTACACCCCAAGATGTCAGTACACCTACAGCTAGCACAACTGAGTGACAAACGCTTTAGTATGGTAAGATTTGTGTTGGTGTCACAACACAGCATTGAACATAACACAAAATGGTGTCTTAGTTGAGAAGGATCAGTCAAATCATAAGCACTTGTAGGTAGGTTAGTTTCTGTTTTAGCTTCTGTTATAACACAGTAGCATTTTGTTGGCATTATTTCTTTAGCTGGTTTGAACCAAATGCCGACACCAACTGAACAATTCCCTGCAGCAATTTCCTGTAGTGATATTGCTGATACATGCAAGATTATACATGCTACAAAGTAATGAGGTGACCATTGTTTCAATTAACAGGTATAGCTGCTAACGAGAAAGACGTTGACATGAGCGTCCATTTCTGGATAGATATGACTTAAAGGGCAACAGTACAGACACCAGATAGAGAGATGTTTTTATTGGCCATATTTTTATATGTCATTCCAGTATTACAGGCTGTGTACATGCACAGGTAATGTCACTTCTTTGGAGCATATTAGAGGTCTTCGTGTGTCAGGACTGTGTTCAATTAACATAGCATCCTACCTACCAGCATGAGAAAAATAGGATTTTTAACGGTGTGAAATACTTGCTTAATTGAAACTAATGTGAATATTATTTTAGAGTGAATTTCCCTTTGAAGAATGAAAAGAGAAATATTTTAAGAAAAATTTCAACCTCTTTTCAAAGTCATTGACATGATTACATTGTTTTTTAAGTTTCTTGAACAAACTAAGGGCAAGTTTTTAATCAATGATTAATATTTCACAAATTCTGCTTCAAAAAACAAAGGCACTCAGAGAGCGCATGTACCTCCGCCAAGGCACAACATTCGCTCACACAAATGGGTCCCTTGTGAAAAATCCAGATCCAGAACAACACAAAATGTGTCTTAAAATCCTTGATCCGGATTGGCTTCAGATAGTCTTTTAGGCTATAATAGACAGATATACCGTGCATCCTACCTGAATTTTTTTGGGGTTCAATTCTTATTATAGGCCAAGTTACAGCAGAAAATATGGATTAAATGGGGTTTGCAATGTTAATTTTAAATGGCCATCAGATCAGGATGAGACATTGCTGCCCTACATATGTGTCAAATTTCAAATGATTCCAGTTATTTTAGAACAAATTGGGATTTTTATGATTCTTTTTTTATGGTGACTTTGTCTTTGAACCTTTTTCAGCCAAAAATCTAATCACTTCTGGGTTGGTCCCGACCAGTGTCTGTACCACGTATGCTGATGATCCATCCAGCTGTTTGTCTGTAATCCTGCTAACATACAGACACACACACAGGGAACCAAAACATAACCTCCTTGGCGGAGGTAACCATAAAGCCATTAGATAGCCAGGTTTCCATGAAACCAGAGGGTGGCAGCAAAGATTGCAAAACTGCTGTGACACCACACAGCTAATTTTTTTTTTTTTTTTTTTTTTGCTTCAGGGATTTGGCAGAAGCCGTTCCCTGAGCCTGCCCAGGCGACTGAATTCGATGCCTTCACCCAGACTTCTGTCACCTGTAAGCACACCAGGAACTCAGTCATTATTTTTACCTATGCAGAGGCAAACATCCTTTCAAGAAAAGGTCTACAAGCCACCAACACCATGGGAGGCAGCATCCAGAAGCCCTATTGGTTCAGTGGATGAGGCCTTTGTGTCTCAGAGCCTCCCATCATCTGTTGCCTCTAATATCAAAGCTGCGGGGCTCCTCAAATCTTTGCCAGAGCCTCCAGATGAATTGAAGTGTAGGGTGTCTCTTGATCCTGCAGCTGTCAGTAAGGGTCATTATGAGGCACCATCCACAAGCAGGACTTTTTCCCCTGAGAAGCCAGCCTTCTATGGGCCTCCCTTCAAACCTGCCCAGCCTCTGTGGCCTGCGGCTAGGGCCACTATTGGATACATGGGACAAGGCTCCTGTCCAACAGTGTACTCTCCCCTCTGCAGCACAGTCCAGAGAAGTTAATACTGCAAAAATGAAGTCAGACATACATCAGATAAAAAAAGAATATACATATAGCGTAAATAACATATTACTATAAATGATGCATGATAGAGAAGATCATGGAAAATATACTGATCACAAAAGATAGAAAAAGGTAATGTGGCCAAGAGTGATTGAATCCCTTGATTAAAAAGGTGTCTAAAAATGACTCTTGGGATTATTTTCAGACATATTATTGTTTTAAATATCTGTTTGATTGGCACAAAGAACATCGCTGTCTTAATGGTTTGAGTGGTCACATGACTGGGTTGTGTTGCTGAGGAGCTTTATTTCACTAAATACTTATTTTGCAGTTCTGTCTAAATGATCATTCAGACTAATTTAGAATGGAAGCGGACAGCTACAGTCTTGATTTAAGACAAACTGTGTTCAGATATGATTAAGCATGTTATGTGAGTTAAAGTGAAGGTGTAGTAGTTGAAAGGAATTTGGTAAATTTCTTTTTTCAGAAATGTTGAGTGGTGTGTGCTCACTGAGGATACTGTTATTTTGACATTGCTGTATTTGGTGAGAAATACTGTAAGCAGTAATACGTGTGTGGTGATCAGCTCTAAAACTGTGTGACTTTGTGATTACTTGTCAGGTTCATGCTATCCAAATTATTAGAATATTTCTTACTGTAGACTAATAATTATGTTACTTATCTTGTTTTAATCTCTTTTGTTTCAATTCTATTGTTGTGGCAATGCCAAGTATATTAATGGAGTGAACATATAAAGTATCCGTAGCACTGTCTAGCACCATTTACAAATATTTTATAGGCTTTTCCGAAGCTGCAGTGCAATTTTAGGGAAGTAGCAAACTTGCATTATGTGTTTCACACCAATATTGACCTTATTACTACTTGTGAGATAAAAACCTGTTTGCTACTATCATATAATATATATAAAAAGATGGGAGACAAATGAAAGAGAAAACCAACATAAAGTGTCTTAGTAAGGTGCTGGGCCACCATGTGCCACCAGAACAGCTCCAATGTGCCTTGGCATTGACTCTACAAGTCTCTGAACTCCACCGGACAGATGAACGCCGTTCTTCTAAAAAAATATTCCCTCATTTGGTGTTTTGATGATGGTGGTGGAGACGCTGTCTGACACATTGGCACCATAGGTGGTCAACTGGGTTGAGATCTGGTGGCTGTGATGGCCACTGCATAAGATTCACCTGAAGAAACCACTCATCAGTTCAGGTGTTTCTTTAATTTGTCACCTGTCTGTGTTTATAAGTTAGGATGAATATATGTTGCATACATACATTCATGACTTGTTGCACCTTGCATCATACACTGTGTTGTGTTAAATTGTAAACAGAACCACAGATTCTGCTTTTATGTGTCAGGGTTTTTGAATTGTAGAATTTTCTATTTTAATGTTTTCTAGAAATTTAAGATTGCACTTTTTGCCTGCATTTGATGACTTTCATAAATGTTATTTTTTGCACCTTTAAAACACAAACTGAAGCATTAAATGACACAAAAAGGCTTTGTTGAATTTTTTCTCTGCTGTAATTCAAAGAGTCAGTACCATTCATACAGACGTTAATATAAATGACAATACAGTTGAAAGAAACATGTGTTCTATGTTTCTAAAGCCAATTGTTGAAAAGGAAATTATAGATATAGTGAACAAATGTGTTAATAAATCATCCAGTGATAGTGATGGTATCAGTATGACAATGGTTAAAGGGACAATTGAGGGGTTATGCAAACCATTATCTCATGTTTTTAACATGTCGTTTCGACTTGGTCAGTTCCCCAATAATATGAAAATAGCAAAGATTATTCCACTGTATAAATCGGGAGATAAGCACAACTTCACAAATTATAGACCGGTTTCTCTGTTGTCACAGTTTTCAAAGATCTTGGAAAAACTATTCAATAACAGATTAGACACATTTATTGATAGACATAAAATCCTCTCTGATTGCCAATATGGTTTTAGGTCGAACCGATCGACATCTCTGGCCATTACCAACCTAATGGAGGGCATAACAAGTGCTATGGATGAGAGGAAATACACGATGGGAATATTTATTGACCTATAAAAAGCATTTGACACAATCAATCATGAGTTATTAATGGATAAGTTAGAAAAATATGGGATCAGGGGATTGGTTTTGAACTGGATTAGAAGTTACTTGACACAGAGGCGTCAATTTGTGAAGTTGGGTGAATACCAGTCGAGTGAGCTGGACATTGTATGTGGAGTGCCTCAGGGTTCTGTTTTGGGACCTAAATTATTCATATTATACATTAATGATATATGCAAGGTTTCTGATT